TCTTTCTGCTGCTTCCAGGATGGGAGAAGTAATTCCTTAAGTGAAAAGCAAATGGAGAAGGTCTGAAAGGTCTGTTGTGAATGTGGTGACTTGAAAGAAAGTGGTCCCCAAAGGGAGTGGCACTATTAGGAGGTGTGGCATTGTGGGGCAAAGTATGTCACTGTGGGGGTAGGCTTAAAGGTCTCTTTTTCTCAAGTTTCCCTCAATAGGACAATCAGTTGACTTCCTGTTGCCTGCAAGATGTAGAAGTCTGAGCTCCAGCACCACCTCTGCCTGCATGCCACCATGCTCCCCGCCATGATGGACTGAATCTCTGAACTATAAGCGAGCCCCCTCAATTAAATGTTTTCTTTATTAGAGTTGCCATGGTCATGGTGTCTCTTCACAGCAATAGTAAACCCTAACTAAGACAGAGGTTGGTACCAGGGATTGAGGTATTGCTGTGATAGGCCTGACCATGCTTTTTGTTTGGAGGAATTTGGACTTTGGAACTTTGGGTTATGAAAGCAATGGAAAGCTTTAAGCACTGCTTAATGTGCCAAACTAGTAGAAGCATGGAAGACTGAGGTGCTAAGGGTTATTTGAACTGCTGAAGGCTCACTCAAGAGGTTTCAGAGAAGAATTTTAGTACATTGCCTAGAGATCATTCTTGTGATATTTTGATGAAAAAAGTAACTGCCTTTTGCCTTGTCCTAAGAGTCTGCCTGAGGCAGAAGAAATCTCAAAACAGTCTAGTATAGACTCTGCTGTATGGATATTAGCAGTAAATCTGATGAAGATTTATAATAGAAAGTAGCAAGCTGAGCAAGGTAAATTTTTAAAAGTACATTTTGAGGAGAAAAGGAGCACCAGGAAGTAGAATGGAGCTAATTCCTATGTTCAAGGAGATAAACAGATTTAGAAATGGAATAAAGGGAGTGATGACCTCAAGGCAAGATCTCACCCAGCTAAGTTTCCTTGTGGAAAGGAAAAGTTCAGAGACAGGTGTGGTGGTGCATGCCTTTAATCCCTAGCACTGGGAAGGCAGAGGCAGAGAGATCTCTGAATTTGAGCCCAGCCTGGTCTAAAGAGCAAGTTCAAGGACAGCCAAGCTTAGGCAGTAAAAGAAAACAGAAAGCTGGTGAAGATACAATTAAACAAGGAGGCCATGGTCCAGTCCCAGTGAGCAGCAAAATTTGACAGCTTTAGTCATGTGGTTCTGGCTTTACAGTTAAGGATAGAAGAAATAGGTTATAGAAGTTGCCTCCAGGCCTAAGGACAGCCACTGAGGCTAGACATGTGTCATGGGTGTCTCTGAATGGTGGCCTAGTAGAGAGGCCATTGTGTGAAGCTATGAAGTTGCATCCTAGATTGTACTGGAGAACCCAAGATGTTAGAGATCCCAGAATCATGGGATACCTGCTAACAGGGAGTGGGACCAGCCCAAGTCAACAAAGCCGAGTAGAGTTGGAGATGTGGAGAGCGTTTTGACATCAGACATCAGAATCTATCCCTGGTACACGAGAAGGATTTTTGGAGCCCACTACCAATGATGGGACACTTTACACAGCCTTGAGGCAGGGGGAGGGGCTTGGACTTGCCTTTACTAAATGTACCTCCCCATGGGAGCCTTATCTTCTTGTAAGAGGGAATGGGAGTGGGGTTGGGAGGGGGAGGTTGGAGGGGTGGGAGGAGGGAAGAGGGTGATCTTTGATTGGTATGTAATTGGTATGCAGAGTTTGGAGTCAGCCCAGCTGGTTTTCAGTCTTTCTTTGGTCCAGCATTTCCTCATTTTGCTCCCTTCCCTGTGTTTTGGAATGGTAATGTATATCCTGTGTCATTATATGTTGGAAGTATGTGAGCTGCTTTTTGATTTTGATTTTTACAGATGATTACAGTTATAAGATTGCCATTTGTCTCAGAAGAGACTTTGGACTTTTAAACATTGTTGAGACTGTGATAGACTATGGGGGGACTTTTGAAGTTAGACTGAATGAATTTTTTGCATTATATATATATATATATAGCTATAAGCCTTTGGGGGCCAGGGAGTAGAATGTGGCAGTTTGGAAGAAAATGCCCCACCAAAAGGGAGTAACACTATTAGGAGGAGTGGCCTTGTTAGACAAAGTGTGTCACTGGCTTTGAGGTCGCTTTTTCTCAAGCTTTCCTCAGTGTGATACTCAGTTGATTTCCTATTGCCCTCTCAGCTCCAGCACTACTTCTGCCTGCCTGCTACCATGACAATAACTGACTGCACCTCTGAAACTGTAAGCAAACCCCTCAATTAAATGTTTTCTTAATTAGAGATGCTCTGTCATGGTGTCTCTTTGCTGCAATAGGAAACCCTAACTAAGACAGTGAATGAGAAGAAAACTCAGAATTCCCAGGCTGTTGGAATACTAGACTAAGACAGAGTACATGATGAAGTGTCCTCAGTACTAATCCGGCACTTTCCTCACTCTGATGGTAGTCCTGTTTTAGCACAGAGAATGAAGACAGCAGGACTGACCAAAGTCTGAATGCTTCTCCTCTGGCATGGCAGAAGGACTCTGGAAAAAAAATGATCGGTAATAATGGAGAAGAGAGGCTAAAGTCAGCACTAAGGATGCCAGCCTGTTAGGAAAGAACTTATTTTGTATCAGAAAAGGTGTGCCTAGTATTAGAGATGGAAGGCCTTGTGAAGGTAGAATTCAAGATACAGGAGGCAGAAGGAGAGAAGAAATAGCAAGCTAAAGGTTGTTCTCAGCCTGACACTGCATTAGAGTCACCCTGGGGTCTGTAAAAGCTACAGCTTCCTGGGCTCCACCTTTTGTGATTAAGGCTGACCTGGTCCACGGTGCACCTTGGTCAAATGGAGCTCTTCCATAGACAAGGCCACAGACCTTTGCTTTGTACCTTCATAAGAAAGCTTATTTTGTTTTGCCTTTGTGACATAAGTTAGTCTTTCCTTAAAGAAGCCATTGGGAAACCATTAGACTTTAAAGAGATGAGCAACGTTGACATTTCATATTTTGAAAAGTACCCTAACTGTCACCATAGAGCTTTTCTCCAGTAACTGATGGAAGCAGATGCACACATCCACAGTCAAACACCAGGCAGAGCTCCCAGAGTCCAGTCAAAGAGAGAGAAGAGGGATTCTATGAGCAAGTGCATCAAGATCATGATAGGAAAACCTGCAGTGACGACCAAACCAAACTAGTGGGAACTCACAAAATTTGGATCAACAGCTGTGGAGGCTGCATGGGACTGGACTAGGCCTTCTGCATAGCAAGACAGTTATGTAACTTGATCTGCTTAAGGCTCCCCCTGGCAGTAGCATCAGAATCCATCCCTGGTGCATGAGCAGGTTTTTGGAGCCCACTACCTATGATGGGACACCTCACACACAGCCTTAAGGCAGAGGGAGGGGCTTGGACTTGCCTTTATTAAATGTACCTCCCCATGGGAGGCCTTACCTTCTTGTAGGAAGGAATGGGGGAGGTTAGAAGGGGGAGGTTGGAGGGGCGGGAGGAGGGAAGAGGGTGATCTTTGATTGGTATGTAAAATGAATAAAAAATTTTTCTTTATTAAAAAAAGACAAGTACCTTATTCTCAGAATGATTGACACATACAAAAAGAGAGCAACTGGGGAAAGAGACAAGTCAAAAAAGTATCAGGCCATTCCAGGGGCCTGATGTGAACTAGGGACCTTCAAAGGACGTGTGGCTCAACAGAAATATGTGTGATTTTTGACATAAGAATGATGATGATTACTGGCATATCTTCAGAATGATTAAAGGTGATAGGAAATTTTCAGCTTGGATCATCCCTTGGGTGTTGACTACCATATACCAAATTCCACAGTGACTGTAACTCAAGGCAGCCTTTCTTAAGCCACTGTTTCCACGGGTTAGGAGACTGGAGCCTGCTTCCCTGCTCTCTGTTTAAGGGTCTCGTGGAGAAGTAAAGCATGGTCCAGGGCTGAACTCTCATCACAGGCTCAGTCAGGGGAAGCTTTTCCTCTGAGCTCCCTAGGATGTCATCAGAGTCCATCCTCATGGGGACTTATAATTTCCATTCGCATAAAGGGAACAGTCGTTCTTTGAAAATTTGCATCTGGGGAGTCAAGCACATCCAGGCTCATCTCCATTCTGACTAACTTACATCAGCCTACTGAACTGACACATGAATTATGTCCATGAGTTACCTCCACTGTGGCCATTGAAACCTAATGCTGAGAATGCGGTCCTGTCACAGGCAGGGGCCAGTGAATTCCTAAGAATGTAGATCCAGGTGCTGGGGTCTAGTGACACTGTGAGTGCAGAACGTAAGGCTCTCAGAAAACCTCAAGGAGGAGATGAGCAACTCCTATGACAGACATGTGGGCGCTGGGGAAGCCAGGTGAGGGCCTGAGCAGCCCAGGAGCTGGTGAGAATTCAGCTGTAATAGGAACTGACAGAGACTGGAGCAAGAATAACCAAACAAAGCTGGAAGTTCTGAGGCTCACGTCACCCCAGTTCGCCCATGGCTCTTCAGTGCCTCATATCCTCTCTGTAGGCAGCAGTTTACCTTTTTCTACTTTCCATGGTGCTGTGATCTTCTCACCAGCTTTCTTCTACCTTCAAGTTGCAACACTTAGAAGAGAGATCAATGTCTTTATTAGTGAAACCTTGCAGGTAGCAGGCAAAGTAAAGACTCGCTTGCATGTGCTACCTACTCCAGACGGAGAATCGAAGAATTAGAGGGTAGAGAACACAAGGCTCACTGGGGGGAAGTGATTCCATTGTTTGCACTGAACTTTCCCCATCCTTCTGAGGCTCTTCTCTCCATTCAGAATGAAGTAAAGAGAATGACACAAACTGGATGCAGGTGGAACCGTATTTATCTGTCTCTTCAAACTTTGCTCTCTTTACAAATGGAAATGCGTTGAAGGAACCATGGCAACAGTGATGAGCAATCCAGTCTGTAAGGGTGGAAGCAGAGAATCTGACCAGTGTAGCTGATGCTCTCCTGTATTCACTGAAAGCTTTGCCTTTCAGGTTATGTTCAAGAAGAATGTGTCATCCCCTGCCCATTTGACTGCAAGCTGAGTGACTGGTCCAGCTGGGGCTCTTGCAGTTCGTCTTGTGGGATTGGAGTGAGAATTCGATCTAAATGGCTAAAAGAGAAACCTTACAGTGGAGGTCGACCTTGTCCCAAACTGGATCTCAAGAATCAGGTAACATGAATCAACAAGCATACATAAAAACCTCAAGTCTGCCTGAGTTATTATTTCTGGTTGAAAATAAACTTATTCTCTTACAGAGAGCCCCACAAGGTTGAAAGAGGACCAAGGGCAGACACTGAGATAGCAGAGTAAGAAGTAGAAGCTTGGTCTGGTCTCTCATAATGAGGAAACCAACTTGGTACACTTAGCAATAATTATATTTACAAAATTACATCTAATTGATTTTTAAATAGAAGTATAATCTAGTAATGTAAAATATGTACATACTTAACATTGTTTAAACATAAGTAATAAAATAGAGAGACCATCAATTAATTTAAGATAATATATGTATAATCTAATCTTTAACAACCCAGAGATGATGTTCTAGTTTTCTTTTACCTAAGTCTTTATCCTAATTTTCATTGCTGTCAATCTTGCCAATTCTTCTCCAACTCTCCAAATCTCTCTTGACTATTTTTCTACACATTTCCCCAGAAGTCATACCTACTTTTACAAGTGACATCCTGATGGATTCCTTTCCATATAGCTGTCTAATAAAATTGTCATACTAAGCAGTCAGACTTGACTAGAGCATATTTCAGCTTGTTTCATCCAGTGTCTAAACTTTAGTATAAGAATAATGAAGAACTCAGAGTTCATCCACAGCTGCATACTGTTTAGTAGATTAGCACTGATTATTTTTAAAAATCAATTTAATAGATGACACATAAGATAAAGTCAGTTAAAAGGTCTTTATCGTAGGGGTAGAGGAATGTATCTCACATGGCTATGGGAACCTTTCAACAGAATAGTGTCACGGGCTTCTATAGCTAACTCTGTTGTTAACCCCTCTCCTCTTAACCCCATTTTGATTTTGATAATATGTAAGTTGTTAATGGAAGGGAGATAACATTTGGAAGTTCCTAATTTGTTTGGTTAGGATGTATAGTAATGCTCAGACTTGAGCAGCATACATTACTTCAAGACTAAGATCATGAGTGAGTTATTTCCCCACAGTCTTACTTACAAAAGACAGATTCCTTCCTAGAGGTTACCAATCAACCAAGAATTACCTAAGTTGTAAAATTAGGCAGAGTTAATATGAGTGTCTTGTTTCTTTCTTAATTTCGAAATAATGGCCGTCACACCTTCTCTTAAGATTTAAGCCTTTTCAGGACAACAAAGCAAAGGATTGTGAAATAGCATTAAGATGTGATGAGACCTAATAGGTATAGAAGCTCAATGATGAGAAAAGTGAAATAATAAAGACAAGAAGGAACAACTACAGCAGAAATAAACCTTACAAATAAAGAAATAAAGGAAGTTTACAGTCAGGGGGGTAACTGTCAGGTGAATACTCTCCATGAAGATGCTTTGACCATCTCTGGGGAATTTTCCAAATATTTAAAATGGGGGAAAAAAAGGACAAACTACTAAGCACTCATATTTATTATCACATCATCTTCAAAACAGCCAATGAGAGCTGAGCCTTTCTTAAAGCTAGCTTCAACCATTGATTTTAATATTCTGATTTCATAAATGAGGTAGTTGTATAGCAATGGCAGTGCTTCCTCAAGCACACATGTCCAGCCTGTCTCTCAGTGTGTAGGGCTACAGAAACACATCTATGAAACATAAGAGAAGGAAGTCTGCCTGTCGTGACCCAGAGGAAATATGCGTGCTTGCTCACGACACAACACTCATAACCTTGAAAGGCAGCCTGAGCTAGAAATTAAATCCAAGTCCAAGAAGGATTTAGATGAATCTGGTAAGTGAAAATTAAGCAAAGGAGGCCTGTCTGCAGGGGATGTCTCTATGTTCTGAATTCAAAAAGGCAGTTGTAGCCATTTGTTTTTGTGATGATCAGAAATGAATCCTAGACTTTGATAAGCAGAAACAATTTATTATTATAAAGAAATTTCAGGCACCTGGCACACATGTGCAAAGTGAAAAAGTAGCTCCAACTGACCACTTCTTATATTCTTAAACTTTATTTCTATTGCAAATTGACAATTGATAGTTGTATATGTTGATGGGATGAAATGATGATATGTCTTATGAATACAATGTGAAGTGATTAAATCTGTATTATAGACATTACTCGTTTCAACCATTTTGTGGTGAGAACATTTGCAGTTTTCTCAGCAGCTCTGAGATGTACACTATGCTTTTATTAACTGCATTAACCATACTGTGGCAGATTTCAGTTAAAGAATATGAGTCCTCAGGTAGTTTGTGACCACCACCCCTTCCCCCAGCTTCCGCTCTCCATTAACCATCACTCTGCTCTCTGTTGAGTCTGATTGCTTTACAACCCAAACCTAAGTGAGAACATACACTATGTGTCGTTTTGCTTTGCATATTTTAAAATTTTGGATCTGAGACAATAAGGTCTTACTCTGCAGCCCATGCTGCCCTGGAATCTCTGTGTAGCTCAGATTGGCCTTGAACTTGATGCAATTCCCCTGCTTCATCCTTCCAAGTCTTGGGATTACAGGAGTGAGCAACCGTGCACAGCCAGGGTTTGTTGTTCTGTGCCCAGTTTATTCCACTCAACACAGTGTTCTCAAGATCCAGCCGCAGTTTCACCATTGGCCACATTTCTGTCCTTTTAAGGCCAGACAGCAACCATTTTGTCTGTGTAGCACATGTTCTTTCCGTCCTTTCTCGTCACTGCCGTTCACTGAGGCTGATGGTGTAACTCGGCAACCATGAACATTGCTGCAATACACATGGAAGTGCAGATGTCACTTTAACTTACCCGTTTCAACTTGTTGTAGTAAAGACTAGCCATAGCACTGCAGAATCATGTTCTACACTTCAGTTTATGAGGAAACCTCCAAATATGTTTTTATGACAGCTGTTCTATTTTACAGCCCCACACAAAAAGCACACAATAGATCTATTTTATCCACACACTTTGCATCTTAACATGATGTTAATTGATCATTTTCTTTCTTTCATTCATTCATAAGTCTGTGAATGACCAGGGAAACTCCAGTTGGGCAAAGTAAGGTATTTAAAAGAAATTCTCCTAGGAATAATTCTGTCTCTAAAGTGATCCCTGTCGATTTGTTTGTGGGGAGTTATCTGTGTTGACATCATTATATGTTTGCCCTTGCCTGTAGTGGAGTCTTCTACGCGTGTGTGCTTGCATGGGCATGTGTGTGTGTGTGTGTGTGTGTGTGTGTGTGTGTGTGTGTGTGTGTGTGTATGTGTATGCATGTGTATGTGTGTCTCTGTGTGAATATATGTGTGCATGTGTGTACATATGTATGTATGTCTCTGTGTGAATGTATGTGTGCATGTATTGTGTGTGTGTGTGTGTGTGTGTGTGTGTGTGTATGTGTGTATGCACATGTCTGTGTGTCTTGGGCTGCATATAGAGTTTGGTGGAATTCATACTTTCACAGTTCATCTAACAAAAATGTAGACTGTCAGAGATTCTCATTGTTTAGAAAATAGTGCCAGCTTTACTGTTTCTGTCAGAAATAACCAAATTACAGAAGCAAGCAAGGCATAGTTCTTTAGTGCCGTGACAGGAGGAAAATGCATTGTGTGTCACATCGAATCTAGTACACTGTTCATAAGAACATTGAACTACGTGAGTATATTTCTGGGTAAATATGAGTGCACTGACATTCATTCTTCCTCTTTGGTTTGGGCGTGGGGTGTATTTTAGGTTTTATTTTTTTGTGGAAAATATTCCATCCATCTGGTTCATGGTCTTGTGGGTTGTCAACTTACAGTCATCAGAGGCCTGAGTGAGAAGCAGCCTTCCCCGTGGATGAGAGGGTGCCTCCATCAAAATCGGCAAGCACATTAGAATGGTCTCTTCTGTACAAATCGTTATTTGCATTCTCAAAAGCACAAGTCCTTCTAGAAGAAAGAATTAATCTCCAAATTGGTTCCCAAAGGGTCTTTCAAAATTGCCCTGAAAAACTTTGACATTTAGATCCCACTGAGGACTGGGCCAATGATATAAATGGAAAGGTTGGCATTATGTACACACACCTATAAACCGCTCAGACTCCTTCAGTGAAATCAATATTTATAATCTCTCATAAAAGCCTCCCTTTTAAACCAAAACCTATGCACCCGCCAGCTCTTGCTCTAGATGCTGGCCGCCAGTGACAGCCATCCTTGAGCAGCTTCTGCTAAGTGTGTTTGTGATGCTAAATAGCTCGCAGTGCAGCTGTCCCTGAGCTCTTGGCATAAACGCCTTCTACACAGTTTATTGGATTATCAGGTCAGCTGGCTGACGCCCTTGACTCTGTTGTGCATAATAAAATACACGATATATTTTAATTTTTACAGTCTAAATGTGTTGAATGGATTTAAATGCACTTGCACTGTCTATTTTGCTATTTTTTTCACTTGAAATGATGCTATTAGCAGATTAAATATGAGGAGGGCCATAAAACCCCACTGGACTTACATTTCCTTTTAAAAGTTCTTTAGATGATTGAAGTCAGGGGCACTTTAGAAAAATCACGTTTTGTTTATATGTCAAAGGCATTGTATTCACAGTTTGAATCCAAGTCTTGTAAGAGATTCATTACCTATACATTTTCAAGATATACTCTACCTAAACACTTTTTGAAGGACTTCAATGCCTCCAAGTTACTTAGAGGATATGAATTAAATATGTGTGTTCTTTAGAAATGATTGCTATTTTAAAGGTGTGTCTCCTCCCCAGTGAAAGGTGACCTAAATTTGCAAATGAGAACAATGCATTTTATTTTTCAAACCAGGGCAATCATGTGTTTAAGCACACTTTCTTTCTAATGATATGTAAATGAATTTTACCATGAACAAGTCTTCCTTATAAGACTCGAGGCTGAGCAAAGGGTTCTGTGTGAACTGGCTTGGGTTCAATCTGTGCTACTTCATTATATTGGCAGTGTGTTTACAAGCCCACTTCAGATAACTGTCGTTCTCTTTGTATTATTTTTTTGACCCAGAAAAAGATGACTACACTTATGATTTAATTGATTTAGCCGATTTGA